ATTTACATTTATTTTTTATCGTGTGATTTAAGATACATATTATAAAATTTTAGATATATATATATATTTAAAAAAAAATTAATTGATGCAACTAGAGCATATTAAAAAAGATTTTTTTATTACAGTATATAACAAATATAATTTAAAGAACTTTTAAAGAGGTAGTTATAACAAAAATAATGAGGAATCAGTAATAAATGTAGGCAATTGTATGTTTGACTCAATGCTAAAAACTAACGAGTTATACCGTAATAATGTCCGTAAGGTGTATCATGTTTTTCATATCATTTATTTATAATATATAACTATATTTATAACTATTTTATACTCTTTCTTATTAGATTTTTCTTCGCTTTGCTATAACAAAATGATTTAATTTTTGTAAAATGAATTCAATAAAAATTCGTAAAGACAACAATTGTATTTATTTTCTTACAATTAGTTATTTCAAGATATTAAACTATTATTTGATTTCTTACTTCTTAAACTAATTACATGAATTTTTGATATATTACAATGTTACAATAAACGGTTAATGCTTTTTCAGTATATCCCGCAAATTTAATAAACTGCTCCAGCTTATCTTTGTTTTTTCATTATGAATATTAGCAAATATTAATACAATTTTTATTATATATGGTAATGCATTGTTCAAATGTAACTTGTTTTTTTTTTTGGGCGGGTAGTTTCAGTCCGACGGATCACAAATTGGCAACTTGCAGTGATGATGGAACTGTCAGAATTTGGGACTTTCTTCGCTGTCACGAGGAACGAATTCTCAGGGGTATATATATTTTTGATCTTATAAATATTATATGAAATTTATCTTTTTCTTTGATTATTATTTAAATAGCTTAGTGTATATTTTGACATATATTTTTTATTCTTACAAATTACATATTTATCATATACATACATAAGTATGTATATATATAAAACTATTTTATATATATATATATATATATATATATATATATATAAGATAGTCTACTTTCTTAAAATAGAATTTTTATTTCATTATTAAAAACAATTGATAATGATTTTTTTTCGAAATTTTACATTATTCTATTTTATGTTTTTTTAGCAAATAAAAAATCACACAAAAACACATACACACACATATATTAAACACAATATTTCATAGTATTTTTTCTACAGGTCATGGTGCGGATGTCAAATGTGTACATTGGCATCCACAAAAGAGTCTAGTCATTTCTGGCAGCAAAGACAATCAGCAACCAGTGAAACTTTGGGATCCGAAAACTGGACAGTCTCTGGCGACTCTTCACGCACATAAATCTACCGTGATGGATGTCAAGTGGAATGAAAACGGTAATTGGTTGGTAACTGCATCAAGAGATCATCTCTTAAAACTTTTCGATCTCAGAAATCTTAGTCAAGAAGTTCAGACTTTTCGTGGCCATAAAAAGGAAGCGTCTAGTGTCGCGTGGCATCCAAGCCATGAAGGTCTCTTTTGTAGTGGTGGTAGTGATGGCGCCATACTCTTCTGGCATGTTGGGTACATATTGTTCTTGCTTATAATCAACATAATCACTTTTGATTTACTTATATGATTGTTATTTTTCTTAATACTGAATTGACATTACAGTTAACTTTATTTTGAATTTCAGAGCGGATAAGGAAGTGGGAGCGATAGAACAAGCGCACGATAGCATAGTTTGGACATTAGCTTGGCATCCATTGGGACACATCTTGTGTTCTGGCAGTAACGATCACACGTCTAAATTTTGGACGCGTAACAGACCGGGAGATCTAATGAGAGATAAATACAATCTCAATACATTACCGGCAGGTTCGGCTGGTATCGATGACCACGAAATTGGTACTGAGTACTGAATATTTCCTAAAATTATTTCAATGATATGATATAATATTTAATATATTTTTTATTTTCTCTTTCTCTCTCTCTCTTTAATATCTTATTCCGCTTCATTTGTCTTAGCTGATGAAGCAGCGGTGATACCTGGTATGGGGCCAGAGGATAGAATCAATGCAGATTGTGAATCCGAAGAGAAAAATGGTGGAATCCCCGGTCTGGATTTAGATCACGCTGTGGACGAGGGCAAGAAATTCGCCAATAAGAAAGTTCCATATAGTAAACCGATACCGCGAAATTTCCAAGCGCAGTGGAATGAAATAGAGGGCGAAGATGAGCAAGTCGAATTAGTTAATCAGTTCGTCAATCAATTAATAGAGACAACGCCAGGTGCTGTACCACTAAACGAAGTTACGCCTAACGCCATTATATTATATGGGAAAATGATTCCAGTGGAATGTAAGCAATATATTTTAGTAAAATAAGTGTAATCAGCTTAAGCATATACATCAGTCTTAAAGCATATTAATTTAAAAAAATACGCAGTTATATATAGTTATTAAATTCAGTTGCATCTTTCAGCTGGCTCCAAACTGGCGCAGGCAATCAGTAAAGGAACCGATGCCATAAACAAATTAGTATTTTCTGGTGAAGTAGAAGAATTACGGGAGTTGGTATGTCCACAGGCTGATATGGAAGTCGAAGAATATCTGCTGGACGATAAAGAGATCGATTTTTCTAAAGTGCCCAACGTAAATTTGCCGCCACCCTTGCCTAGCTCCAAATTTGCACAGAATCCGGAACTGCTGAAATCGCTGAATCGCGGCGGCAAGCGTAAGTTCGATCAGCTAATCGGCTGGAGCGATGGTGGAGCTAGTGATCGTATATCTAAGATGCATCAGCCGGTCTTCAGTGGTGTGATTACGGAGGACTCGCAGTCCAACGACACTGATTTGAGATTTAGCAAGTCAAGTCTCGCCGCGGAGAGTAATTCCTTCCATAGCGGGCAAGATGAAGATCATAGGAGGAGCGGTCTTCACGATCTATCGAGAAGTAATCGTGGCGATGAAGATCTTAGATTCAACATGTCTACCGGTCCTGGTAGACCCAGTTCAGTTAACGAATACGATTCACGCGGCAACAATTTCGCGGACAAGGATTTTCGCAATTTCCTGTCATCCAAGTCTTTGGATGATGATGATTATGACGAGCGGGAACATGATAACGCCAGCGGCCGCTGGGACGACGAAGAGGCTGATGGATCGCGTGGTAAATTGGACAGTACATTCGGCAACAATTTTGACAAACGCGACAATGGTGTAGCAATGGGCATGGGTAATAATATGCATGGTCCTATGGCTGGTATACCGCATCTGCCGAATCATCATAACATGCAAAATATTAATCCCAACATGCCGCCACCGATGCCAAGCCTTGTGCCGCATCCCAACATGTCACAGCATCCTAGCATGCAGGGTAAACCGCCGCATCCTGGTATGCCCGGTATAGATGGCCCGATGCCACCCCATATGATGCCGCCCCATCCAAACATGCATCCAGGCTTTGGACCCAATGGACCGCCGCCCGGTGGTTTCGGACCCAATTTTCGACCACCACCGCCGAATAGCAATTTCGGCCCAAATCATTTTAGACCAAATCCAATGCTACCATTTGGACCGAATCAGGGCCCGCCGCCATTTGGCAATAATTTTCAGGGACCGCCCAACTTCCGCGGACCAAATGTCGCTCCGATGAATTTCGACCGACCAAATTTCGGACCTAATTTCCGCGGACAAACTCCACAGGGTCAATTGAACAATTTTAATTCCAACTTTGGCAATTTTGGCAAAAATGGTCCCAATCGCGGCATAAGTCGTGGTGGTGGCGATATGGGCAGGGGCGGCTATAATAATCGCGGCAGAGGACGTGACAACGATCAATCGAGAGGAGGGAGAGGAAGAGACAATTATTGAAGAGATTTCTCAGAACAATATGCGTGATTATCGACAATGTTCTTATGCCTCGATATAAACTGTCTTGCATGAACTGTTCAGTGAAACTTTGACTCAGTATATAAAATAATGTGCCGGCGTCCTTGAATGAGTGAACTTTGTTACTCATATGCGAAAATACCTGGTACTCGTATGGTATTTATGAAGTATATATATAGATATATATATATATAGATATATGAGATATATGTATATATATATGTGTGTGTATATATATACATATATAATATATATTTTATATATATACATATATATATTTCTCCTTTTTTTTATGATTCGCCTAATGAGCTAACGATCGAGTACTTTGTGTGCAAGAATTGCGCGAATTGATTATGTATAATAGGTGATTAATTAAACTTTCTTTAAAGAAGAAAGAGAAGAGAGAGAGAGAGAGAGAGAGAGAGAGAGAGAGAGAGAGACGAGAACGAATCGCTGATTCAAATTTGGATTTACTCTGAATCGAGTTGATTTATGTGATGCAGTATGCTACAATATGAACAGTTTTTTTTTTCAAGATGGAGAAACACGAAATTGTAATATAATGTATTAGGGATTGGCGACATGAATACTAATCCGATAGGAACTGTTCACAAGCTGCCTTGCGAGGAAATTCTTATTCCATATGTGTCGGCAAGCATTAATCGTGTTGAGTGATGCATAATCCTGGAGGAGAATGAACACAATGTATGACTGACTTTTGTGTTTGTTATCGTCCGAAGGACGTGAGATTGCCGGAACAGTCTATCAACTATTAATAAAACGGAATAACATAAAGCATCTTTCGTTTCTGCCCTATTTTCGCATGTGTTATACGATAAGCGAGCGAGCTCAACTGGGATAACCGTGACATAAAGAAAAAAGAATTTTTTAAAGATTTAAAAACGATATAAGTTTTCAAATAGTATATATTATTGAATTTGATGCAACAGAGAGTTGTAAAAAAGTTGTAAGTTTCTTACAACTTTAAAATTATAAAATTGTCCATTTAAAGATTATAAATTGTGACTTATTTCACACTACTAATTTGAAAGCTTGTAATATTTCTCTTAGTACATATCTTTATACATATCTGTTGAATATATATAGCTATAATTTTTTACAATTACTTTATTTTATGTAATAACAATTATTAGATTATTATTGAAAACACTATTCTAATGTCACAATTATCCTGATTGAATTTATATCGATTTTCTCTTGATCTTGTATAATATGCAAATGTAATACAGCGAATATCGAATCATGATGAAATTTTGAACGGAAACAGGATATTAGAGATCGAAACCGATAATGATAATGATTCAATGAGTTTAATGTTTCATATTGTAAATTCGTGTTTTTATAGTTGCACTTAAAAATATTAAAATACATTTTCTCTATATCTCAATTTTATCGGAACACGAATTCGATCTATTTCGATCTCTGAATTATGTTCCTCATTATATAGGGACATTTTGAATTGTAACATGATGTATCCATCGATTTATTTCAAGAAACGTACATAATTTGCGTTATTTATTAATTATCAATAAATTGCATTCTTTTAATAATAACTTGATCGTTGAGAGAGGCTTGATTCTTTTTTATGTAGTGGTAGAACTACATAAATCCTTCGTGTGAGGCGAGGTTATATAGTTCGCAAAACTTAACCTTCAAGTTGCAGATATTGCAGAGTCACATACTGTTTTTGCAACGGATAAATATTATCTAACAAAAAAAAGATGGGCAAGAAAGGCAAAGGAGGAGGTGGTAATTTAGGAAAATCTTTAATTAGGGATCGATTTGGATCTACGAAAATTAAGAGGAACAACAATGAGTGGGTATGGTAAAACAAATTGTAACCTTTTCTTTTAAATGTCCTTTTGACAAGTGTGGGCGAATTGGGATTAATTTCATAGATTTTTCATAAATAATGCAATTTGCAAAAGTATTCTGTCATGTTTATATTTTTAGTCATAAATAACATGTTCATTCATGACGTTTATCAGAAATTTTATCAGTTGCTAAGTTTATCTACTAAGTATTTTATCTATCGATGATGTATTTGTTAATAAATTAATTGTTGATAAACTATTATTTAGAATATCTTTTCTCGCCTTTTATATAGCTTCACACTACAGAAATCAATGACGGTTACGATTGGGGTCGACTCAATTTGCAATCAGTTACAGAGGAGAACTCGTTTCAAGAGTTTCTGTCGACTGCTGAACTTGCAGGAACCGAGTTTACTGCAGAGAAATTAAATATTAAATTTGTGAATCCCAGTAGTAGTGGTTTGCTTTCAAAGAATGAAAAGGAGAAAATATTAGAAATACAAGAAAGAAACAAGGGTCTTGTTAAGATACCTAGAAGACCCAAGTGGAACACCTTAAGTGCTCAGGAATTACACACTCTTGAGAAAGAGGCATTCTTAGAATGGAGACGCAATTTGGCCAAGTTACAAGAAGTGGAAGGATTGATATTGACACCTTATGAGAGAAATTTAGAGTTTTGGCGACAATTGTGGAGAGTAATAGAACGCAGCGACGTGATTGTACAAATCGTAGATGCACGCAATCCATTGCTCTTTCGCTGTGAAGATTTGGAACATTATGTTAAAGAAATAAATTCTGACAAATTAAATATGATTCTTCTTAATAAAGCAGACTTTTTAACGGATGAGCAAAGAGAGACATGGGCAAAATATTTTACAGACTTAAATATACGAGTGGCCTTTTTTTCTGCCACATTAGCTGCAGAAAAACAATCAATAAAAGAAGAAGAAGAAGATGAAGATGCAAAATCGATAGATAAAAATGACGATGATGATGATTGTTTGAATAAAAAGGATGAAAGTAGTACTGATGAGTGGAACTCTGAATTTGCTTCGGAATCAGAGTATGAAAGCGCAGAAAATAGTATCATTGACAATGATACATCTACTGTATCTAATATAGAAATTGATAATGACAAACAAATGGAAACTCAATGTGCAATGGAGAACTTAAACATCTCTATGATAGAGGAAGACAAAACAAGAGAAATAGTTAATTCATCGAAATTATTAAATAGGAATGATCTCGTAGAATTATTTAAAACAATTTTTGCGGGTAACAAAACCTATACAGATGGAGTGACAACAATTGGTTTGGTAGGATATCCGAACGTTGGAAAAAGTTCTACTATCAATGCTTTGCTCATGGATAAAAAGGTTTCGGTGTCTGCCACGCCGGGCAAAACTAAGCATTTTCAAACTTTGTATTTAGACAAGGATTTATTATTATGTGATTGCCCAGGTTTGGTGATGCCAAGTTTTCTTTGTACAAAAGCGGAGATGATCTTAAATGGCATACTGCCGATTGATCAGATGCGAGATCATGTACCAGCAATTACATTGCTGGCTACATTGATACCTAGGTACATTCTAGAAGATCTTTATGGTTTTATGTTACCTATACCATCCGAGGGAGAAAACTCAAATCGTGCTCCAACTGCAGAGGAGCTTTTAAATGCACACGGTTGTATGTAATCATTTAAATTGAAATATATTAAAAAGTATTAAATTAAAACTGCCCCAGTTTTATATTTATAATATTACATGTTGTATAATATATAAATTATGATTTATGTTCATACATTTATTTGTAATAATTATAATGTATATTTCTATAAATTGATATCGTATATGCATATATCGTTTGCAGATAATAGAGGTTTTATGACGCAGAACGGTCAACCAGATAATCCACGTTCAGCCAGATACGTTTTGAAAGATTTCGTTAATGGTAAATTGCTATACTGCGTTGCACCGCCAACGTTTGACCAAGAGCGCTTTCACACGTTTCCACCGCGACGTCGTAATATATCCATGAATAAACACGTACCACCCCGAACGATTCGCATAAATGAAGGATGTCGAGTAACGGTCAACGCTGTAGATCGGAAATTTTTCCAAGATACACACATTAAGAAGATTCGCGAACCTGTGCTGCAAAACTCTACAATGTAATGTCAAAATGTTGACTTTATTTAAGTAGTCTCTCTTATATAATAGTGTGACAATATAATCAAATAATCTATTAAAATGTGTTCGAATTCTAATCAAGTGACTTTGTCATACATGATTGAAATATATATATATATATATATATATATATATATATATATATATATATATATATATATATATATATATATATATATATATATATATATATATATATATATATATATATATATATATATATATATATATATATATATATATATATATAATAAATAGTTAGAGAGACTATTATCAGAATGTCTCGTATTTACTTCATATACAAAATTCATTTGACTGA